GGGCAGGGGGCATCCTGTGGAACTGGTGTGGTGGTGGGAGGAGCGTGTGGGCTGGGGAGACTAGAGCAGGTTTTGGGATCTGTGGGGAGCAGTGTGGGCTGTGGGAAGGTATGGGGGCTGAGTCGGGGGTCTCAGCTCCGCAGCTTGGGGATGGGCTCGGGGCTGGTTTCACGGCCTTGGTGTCGGGGCAGGAAGGGGGGTTGTGGCTGGACCTCAATGGTTTGCTTTAGGGTCAGGGTGTGGGGCTGGGCCCGGGGTCTCGGGTGAGTTTGGGGTGAGAGATGGGAGTGCACTCAGGGTCGCAGCTTGGGGGCTTGGTCTTGGGGTTCAGGGGGCTGCCTGGGCTCAGACCAGGAATAACAAGATACCTGGTTATGAAGCTCATTGGACTGTTTATTGTAAAGCACGGCAGACCCCCAAGGTGAGCGATCCCCTTCTCTAAAGTGTAATTATTCCTGACAGTGAAGCAGATATCCCCATCGATGTTGAGACGGTGACGCCCACGCCCGTGCCGCTCTATGATAACCAGAAGGCGCGCAGCGTGATGAACGAGTGCGAGCGCCACGTGATGTTTGCTCGCACGGATGCTGACGCCCCTCCACCGCCAGACGACTGGGAGGAACATGTCAACAGGTAGCACGGGGACAGCAGAGAAAAGAAATTTGGGCGCTAAACGGCCACCCGTTGCACGGTGTGGGTTTTATTTAGTGTGACTTGATATGCAGCGATGTTCCCGAACTGAATAATGTTCAAAGAAAATGAATTCTTGTGTCCCACATTCCTTGTCTGCCTGCTGTGAAAGCTGTGGGATTTAATGGTAGAGGCTGGCCCAGCTGTTGAACCTCTCCCGCACGCTTCATGTGAAGCCATCTCCTCTGTTTTGAGGAGGCTGGGACAGTGAGTTGTTAGGTTACACGTAGATCCTCAATTCAGCCATGTTCCAGTGTCAAAAATTGAAAATGAGGATATGCATAAATTCCACCCTATTAAAAACCCTCCCTGGAACTGTAGTCAAGCCAGTTTGCAGTCTTGATGTTATGAGAAATGTTTCTGGGTTTTTTTTTCTGGACAGTTTGGGAAATGTGGTGATAACCTATGCTAAAAGGAGTGTTTATTTTGGTCTTGTTTATTGCTTCTGCTGTTGTTACTCTGTCTTTCTGATGCTTGGATGTTTGCTGACATGCCCTGGTGACATTTAAAAACCGGTGGGTTTTATTGAGCCATCCTACTAATTAAATCCTCGGTAGTGGAACTCACTTTGTCCATAGCACCAAATCGGTTCTTGAGGCTGCAATTGCAGTCAATGCCCAGCTTTTTTGGGAACGGGCAGCAGCTTGTAGGACCTGGATGTCTGTGCAACAGCGACCTGCGTTACCTCTCTGGTTTTCTCAACAGGACGGGTTGGACGATGGCCCAGAACAAGCTGTTTAATAAGATTCACAAAGCGCTGCAGTCTGACAGGCTGGCTCGCTTGGCTAACGAAGGGGTAAGGTCTTTTACTGTCCCCTGTTTCACTTCACAGTAGAGTCACTGCCTTTGCAGTTTTTATCAGTCCTTCCTAGCAAAGCCCAGTTGAGTCAGGATGAAAGTTTTGGCCTTTGGGTTGTGTAGTCTTAAGAAACAAGCAGCTCTGGGCTTCTTTGAGGCATGATTTTGTCCTCGCTGCGAGGATGTTCGTCTTTGCTTGCTGCTAGAGGATTTTGGGTTGCCCAAGCCAATACTTTCCTGTGGTTTGGGATGCACGTGGCACGCTTGATTTTTCCCATAACTGTGTTTCTTTTTAATTTCCTGGTTTTTAGGCTTGCAATGAGCCAGTCCTGAGGAGGATAGCGGTGGACAAATGTGCTCGGAGGGTCCGCCAAGCTCTGGCTAGTGTCAACTGGGACACCAAACTGATCCAGTGGCTTCACACAACGCTGGTGGAAACGCTCAGTCTGCCGGTGCTGGCAGCTTACTTGGATGCTCTGCAGACGCTTAAAGGAAAGGTGATAAAAGCAGTGAAAGGCTTTGCTATCACTTATAATGATCTCCTTTTGTAAAGCTCGTTAAAGGAAGCTGATAGGGTCTTTATCCTTTTTGTTTGGAGTGGCAGAGATGATGTTTAAAAGCCCCTTGAAAAGAATGTGTGCATTTTCTCAGTCCTTTCTGGCTTCTGGTTTCAGATCCCCACACTGATCGACAGGATGCTGCTCTCCTCTACTGCGAAGACGGGGGCCGCAGGTGCTGAGGCTCTGTCTCTCCTTCTGAAGAGACCTTGGGACCCAGCAGTGGGTGTCTTGTCGCATAATAAACCAGTGAGTACCCCTTGGAGCTTGCAGGGAGCAAGAGACTGGTCTCACATCAGTTTTATTCTTCCCATCCTTTCTGCTGTCCTTTTCCTTCTGCCTCTGTTCCTGGGCTCTTTTCCTCCTGCTTTAGACTTGCTCAGTGAGGGGGACTCCTTCTGTTGGACACATTCCCCCCATACTATCCTGAGGTAGCTTTGACTGGGGAAAATGATCAGTTAATGCACTATGCAAGATCCCTCCTGCTTTGCTGTGCAGACCAGGCTGGGCAGTGAGGTCTCGGGCAGGGAAGTTGCTTTCCCTTATGTGTCTCTTTGTTGAACTTTGTAGAGCAAATTGCCTGGTTCCCCCCTCATCCTGATTGCTTCCTCTGGACCCTCCAACTCCATGTTCCCCACTTCTCGACGGCACCGATTCTGGCAGTCGCAGCTTTCCTGCTTGGGAAAGGTTTGTATGGTTGGTTTTGAAAGGAGGGTAGTTCAAACTAGCAGCTGTGCTAGGCTGCAGCTGCCGAGCTTGTTTTTATAAGCCTTTGGTGCACCAAAACACTCGCTTCTGCTGAAAGCAGAGGCTGGCTTCCGCCACCTGCAGTGTTTAGCACTTGAGACACTGCGCAGGGAGCGAAGTTGCCCAAATCTGATGCATTTGGGGTCTCTTGCTGACAGAAGCCATCCATCTTCAGCAGTTTAGATTGTATCGTTACTGGTATTAAGGATTGATCAGTCTTCCAGTAGGAAGAGGTTGGAGAAGAGAGACTATAGGTCACCTTAGTCCTCTGCCTGGATACAGAGCTGCTCACACACCTCCTAATGTGGTAGATATACTGGGTGTATAGGAGCGAGGTGAGTAGCAGAGGTTGTCTCTGTGGGGAATTCTCTATTTCCTCTGTTCTTAGTAGTCGGAAGTGAATCCTGGGAGAAAGAAGGAGAGAGAAAGCACAAGTTCATTCATAAACTGGGTTCCAGTCTGTGCTTATTGTTGTCAGTACATGTTGTCCCCAATAATGCCTTTGTTATTTATTCATCATTCATTTCAAACCACAGGTGATTCCCATCGCCACCCACCTGTTGAACAATGGCAGCGGGGTGGGAGTGTTGCAGTGTCTTGAACACATGATTGGGGCGGTGAGGGGCAAAGTGGCAGAGGTAAGTAAGAGCGACGAGTGTATCGGGGAGCCTTTGCTGCTCCCTTTAAACTATTCGCCTTGCCTGTAGGTGCTGTGCCACCCCAGTGCATTGTCCCGTTGTCTGTTCCTCTTCTCCATCCACGTCTTTTTTTCTCCCATAGATTCACAACCACTTCTCTCACAAGCCGATCATCCTGATTGGGTGGAACACGGGTGCCTTGGTGGCCTGTCACGTAAGTACCCGATTCCTTTGCATCCTCGCAGAACCCGCTTAACACCTTCAGTTGAGAGTTAGATTTGAATTAGTGTTGCGTTTAGACTCTGCTGGGTTTTTTTTTTTTGTCCCTTTTCTCTTTCCAACAGCTGGCTTTGAGACAGACGTTCTCTCTGGTTGTGGGGGCATAAGCCATTTGAGTCATTGTGGTGGGTTGACCCTGGCTGGGTGCCAGGTGCCCTCCAAAGCCGCTCTATCACTCCCCTTCCTCAACTGGGCAGGGGAGAGAAAATAAAATGAAAGGCTTGTGGGTCGAGATAAGGACAGGGAGAGATCACTCACTAATTATCATCACGGGCAAAACAGACGCAACTTGGGGAAAATTAATTTATTGCCAATCAAACCAGAGTAGGGTGATGAGAAGTAAAACCAAATCTTAAAACACCTTCCCCCCGTCCTTCCCTTCTTCCTGGGCACAGCTTCACTCCCGAATTCTCTACATCCTCCCTGCCAGCAGCGCAGGGGGATGGGGAATGGGGGTTGCAGTCAGTTCATCACATGTTGTCTCTGCCGCTCCTTCCTCCTCAGGGGCAGGACTCCTCACACTCTTCCCCTGCTCTGGCATGGGGTCCCTCCCACAGGAGACAGTTCTCTGCAAACTTCTCCAACATGAGTCCTTCCCACAGGCTCCCCCCACGGGGTCCCAAGCCCTGCCAGCAAACCTGCTCCAGTGTGGGCTCCTCTCCCCATGGATCTGCAGGTCCTGCCAGGAGCCTGCTCCAGCACAGGCTTCCCACGGGGTCACAGCCTCCTTCAGGCATCCCCCTGCTCCGGCATGGGGTCCTCCCCGGGCTGCAGGTGGAGATCTGCTCCACCGTGGACCTCCCTGGGCTGCAGGGGGACAGCCTGCCTCACTGTGGTCTTCCCCAAGGGCTGCAGGGGAATCTCTGCTCCAGCACTTGGAGCATCTCCTCCCCTTCCTTCTGCACTGACCTGTGGGTCTACAGGGTTGTTTCTCTCACTTATTCCCACTCCTCTCTCCGGCTCCAGTTTTTTGTTGCGCAGCAACTTTTCCCCCTTCTTAGCTCTGTTATCCCAGAGGCACTACCACTGTTGCTGATGGGCTCGGCCTTGGCCAGCGGTGGGTCCATCTTGGAGCTGGCTGGCATTGACTCTGTCGGACACGGGGGAAGCTTCTAGCAGCTTCTCACAGAAGCCGCCCTCGTAGCTTCCTCCTGCTACCAAAACCTTGCCACACAAACCTAATACAGTCGTTCGGTATTTTTACCCCACTCTTTTAATCAACAAAGCAAGGTCTAAATATGGAAGATATTTCTGTGCCCGGCAGGAGCCTAGCAAAGCGCCTTTGCAACCTCGATGCACTTGGCTGTTACGATGCTGACTGTTGCTTTTTCTGTCCAGGTTTCAGTGATGGAGTATGTCACTGCAGTTGTGTGCCTTGGATTCCCGCTGCTCACAGTGGATGGCCCCAGAGGGGTAAGGACCAAAGGGAGATGGAGCCATTTAATGAACTGTACTTTTTTTTTTTTATCTCCCTAGATTGTTTCATAGAATCAGGCTTAGAAGTCCAGTGACAATTGGAAGGTTTTTTTTGAGAATGTCTGTGTGACTTTTATTTGGAGGTGTGCCCAGCAGGCAGGACTGTTGCATTCATAGTAGGATTCTTGATGCAATAGCAGGCGTGAGAATCCTCTGTTTGTTTGTCTCTGCTGTGACATGTTTTTGCAGTTCCTTCCTGGGTTCTTATGTGCAGGTCACTTGTTAACTGTGTCATTTGGCACCAGAGAGGACAACTTGGGTTGATTTATATGGAGCCCAAATTCCTCCTTTATTAGCTGACCACAGTGTGTGACTGGGTTGGGAATGATTATTGTTTTGCTAATGAAATGGCTAATTCTGAGGGTAGTGGCAATCTGTATAAAAGGCATTTGCTGGAGCACAGTGCAGCTCTCAAGCAGAGTTTTCTTCAGGACTTGGTATGATCGTGTAAATCCCATCAGGGGCTCACCCCAGGAAGCTTTGCTGTTGGTGCTTCTTCAGCCTTATCCTGGGTTTGTGCGGCAAAAGCTTGGAAGGAGGAAAATGCAGTGAAATAGGTTTTCTGAGGGGGCGAGCATCAGTCTCACCTGTTAATGAGTAACAGCGCTATGTACTCATTCAGCTTTTGAGTCAGTCTTTCTCATGAGATGTTTAAACGAACTGCACAATTTATACTTCTCTCCTTTCAGGACGCAGTTGGTATGTACTGGAATTGCACGTGAAAGCACTGTCTGCCGCTGTGGCACGTGCCTTCCCTTTTTGGAAATCCTCATCTCATTCAGAAGGGTTTTTGCCTCCAAAGGCTCTGCATCCTGGATCAGTCTTTCTGGATTACAATTCCCCTTGCTCTTGCAGGATGTTGATGACCCCCTCCTGGAGATGAAGACCCCTGTCCTCTTTGTGATCGGTCAGAATTCCCTGCAGTGCAACATTGAAGCGATGGAGGATTTCCGGGAGAAAATACGAGCTGATAACAGCATGGTGGTGGTGGGAGGAGCAGATGACAATCTCAGGTAATGGTCTGCGAGATGGATACTCTCTTCTCAGGAATGCTGGACAAGATCTGAGTGTGCTGTGTATAAAAAAAAAAAAAACCACCACAAAAAACAAACCCAAATGTGGTACTGAAACTAGATGGGAACTGCATAAAAATAGCCTATTGAGGTCAGCTTTGTTATTCAAAACCTGGTATGTTTGATAGAGGGTTGGTTTTCTGTGATAAATCTGCATTGTTTCTCTCAGTGGTAAGTTAAAGATCCAGGGTGTGGTGTTGTATGACACTAGAGCAAGTATTTGCTTTTTCTTGCCACCCCTGGCTCTGGAATATGTAGCTTTTGGAGGCTGTGTACAGAATTGCTGTAAAGGAAGGCTGCAAGAGCCTTGCAGGAAGCAAGAAGCTCTTAAGGTTTCAGTAAGCTCTGGAGCTTGTTCTCCTGTCACACTTGTGCATGTTTAGAATAACTGGCATCAAAAACCTGAGCAAGTTGTGTATGAGAATAGGGTTGGCCTGATGCTGTTGCTGGGCCCAGCAGCACAGACAAGGTATTGGAGTATCATATAAGTCAGAAATCCATAGTAGGGATAATCAGTGAAGGAGAGGAAAGAAAGAAACATAAAACTCTGATACTGGGTCTGAAGACAGAGCTCTGAAGGGAAGGAAACATCATACTTGCTTTGCAAAATCCTTTGGAATGCTGGGCCTTTTACCTCGCCATCGAAGTTTGTCTCAGCATTTCTGAGGGATGAATGTCGTTTTTCCAGTAGACGGTGCTCTTGAGTTGAGAGCTGATGGAGCTGGCTCTTGCCTTACTCTGTGTCGAACTGGGTAACTGAGCAAGCTTGCTGTCGCTTGAATCTTACTCCCAGGTGAAGAACGATGTTGTGAGTGTGAAAGTGGAAAACCAAAGATGTTGACTTCCATCTGTTTTTTTTAATAGGATAAGCAAAGCCAAAAAGAAGTCAGAAGGCCTGACCCAGAGTATGGTGGACAGGTGCATCCAGGTAACCACAGAAATCTTCCTTTTACACCTTATATCTATTAAAAAAAAAAAAAAAAAAAGTCTGCTGAAATGTCTCAGTGACCACAAGTTATAACCTTGCTGCCAGGATTGGTTGGATTGAAGGTAATCTATCTCCTGAGTGGGATTTTGAAGCGGCTGTCTCCTTTCAGGAGAAGAGACATGAGCTTCCTGGTAGCGCACCTTAAACAAAGAGCAGTTTTCTGAGTCTTCCTGTACATCTGCCTGGGGAAGGAAGCAGTACTTTTGGGAGCATTGGAGAAACTGTCATGTTTCTCTCCCATGTGTCAGAAATCAGTGGAGTATGAGCTTTAATGAGAAAGCCAAGGTCTGTCTGTAAGGTTTTAGGGTTTCTTTTTGCAGAATATTAAATCTAGAAAGCCTTATCTGTTTGTCCCTTTGGGAGTCTTTAGTTCTTCTTTTGTTTCAAGATCAGTGATAGTGATCTCTTGTTTAGTGAAGACAAGTTGTTTAGACCTGCACACCACTTAGTCTAATTATTTGTTTCATTCTTGCTAGGATGAAATAGCTGACTTCTTGACTGGAGTCCTCACCCGAGCGGAGAGCCACTCGGGCTCTGATCCCCGTGACCTGGATGCTGAGAAGAAGAAGAAGCCGCGCGACTCGACCAGGAGGGATCTGTCGTTTGACCTGCCGGAAAGAAGCAGCAGACCCGCCTCACCGGCAGCCAAAGTGCCCGCCTCACCTTCGGGCTCAGAGGTGGGGGCTCTCTCTGGGATACTTTGTTGTGTAAAGAGATGCTTTTGTACTACTGAGATGTGTGGTGGGAGATGTGGTTAGTGTTGGAAAAGGGAGGTGAGAGGATATGGAGGGACTAATGGCTTGTGGTGGGGCAAACGAACCTTCAGAAATAGATCTGCTCCAGCAAAAGGATGCCGGTGTGCTGCTACACTCAGGGTTACAACTGCCTCTTAGGGAGACATGGGGTAAGAGGTGTTCCTTCTCTTCGAGCAGGACTTATCCAGCGTCTCCAGCAGCCCCACTTCAAGCCCCAAGACTAAAATGGCTGCTGTGTCCTCCATCCAGAAGCCCAGCCAGATCAGCACCACGCAGCTGCTGAAGAGGCAGGTGCAGAGGACGGACACTGTCCTGACACACAAGCAGGCACAAGGTAACGCCCTGCAGGTTGCCCTCTTAGCATCTGGATTTTTGGTCTTTATCTGTCCTGGTGTGTATAGGTTTTTGTCTTCTGAGTCCTGTCTTGAATTCCAAGCTCCCTGTGGCAGCTTTCTCTACAGCTCGGTCCCCCGTCACTGTCATCTGAAGGCAGCAGCCTGTGGAGGGTTGAAGTTAGGTTGGAAATGGTGTTTCCACAGCTTGTGGAGCCTTGCTGCTGTTCAAAGTGGGAAAGATTTTCACTTGTTCTGACTGACCAAATCGCCATGTAACCATACTCTAATTCTTTTTCAAGTGTGAGCCCCTTGACTGGTGTCTCATATCATTGAAGGCTGCTTGGGAGGGAGACTGAAGGTACTCAGGAGATGATTTAGGCTATTCAATTGTGACAAACAGTGGGGCTTGGGTAATTACAGAGTCATCTTGCATCAAATGGCAGTGGAAAACCTGCTCTGAATAAGTCACCAGCTTGAGCTGTGGGATTTTTTTGTCCTGTTAGATGCTGATTAAAAACCTTATGGTGCAGCTTCAGTCTGGTTGTGAACGCTGTGAATGTAGGTAATGGTTTTGTTGATGATGATACCTTCTGGCAAATATCAGTGAGCACTTGGGGAGATAGTTCTCCATCCTCCCTTGTCTCCTTATTTCTTTGCTCAATACAGACCTGAACAGGCTTGTTGTTGTCTCCTGCAACAGTGTCACCCTCTATATTCTCTAAAGTCTTTCTCTAACTCAGGGGTAGGCTCCAGGGGCAAGTTGAAGCTTGGATTTCCCTTCTCAGACCACGGACTAAAGAAATCTATTCCTTTGCTGTTGTAGTTGTAGGAGGAAGTTTCTAGATAGCACGTGGGAGGCAGGAGGAGGGTGTGTAGAGTGGGGTGTATTGTGGCCGCCTTGTTTTGTCAGGACCGCTGCTGCAGCGTGGCTTCTGGCCTGCGTTTTGTGGCTGTAGCTGTTCAGGGATGTGCTGGCTGCCGTCTCCCAGCTGCTCTCAGCTTCTCAGTGCAACTGCTTGGTCAAGCTAGCCGTGCCTCTCGCAGCCAAGCCTGCTCTCGTTCCCTGGGTGCCGGACCTTTTCCCAATGGCTGTGGGGCTGGAGAGGGCTCGTGCTGTTGGGAGGTGCTCTCTGTGAAAGCTGGGATGATGCCCCTTCTAGTGTCGGATGTGCTTTGCTGCCATCCAGAGAGGAGGTCTGTCTGTCCCCGTTGTGCCCCGTGGCTGGATGAGTCATGGCTAGAGCTCTCTGCCTGCCTCTCTGCTCCAAGGTCTCTGTCTGTGGGTCGCAGTAGTGTCCCTGGAGTTCCCTGTCCCCCTCCAGAGCCGGGCTGTGATACTGTAATTCTCTCTGATTCATTTCAGCTCAGTTTGCTGCTTTTCTGAAACAAAACGTGCTGGTGAGGAAAGCTCTTCCTCCTGGCACCTCTTCATGTCTCTTTGGTGAGTATCTCCTCACTTCTCGCTGTCTCTCTCTGTCTCCCTCCTTCTCTCTGTCTCTGCTACCTTCTTTCATCGTCTTCCTCTTCCCTTGCATTGGTTTGGGGATGTGGCCCAATGTGTCCCCTTGTCCCCCTGCTTTTTGCTTTCTCATTGCTGTATTTGAAGCTAAAGCAAATGGCCCACTTGCTAGCTGAGAGCATTAACTTTTCCTGAGCTCTTCCCCTTTCCCTGCTCAGGTGGGTAAATACTGCTCTTCGAGCCGTGTAGTCTGGCAGCTGGTTTACTCTTATGGACTAAAGTTTGTGGACAATGCGGTGACTTTTTGTGATCGTGAGTTTAACCCTTTCCTGTGCTGGGGCTGCAAAGGCGATGTGGACACCAGCCTGGGAGACTGCGTGTGTTGGTGGAGCATTCTGAACATGTGGAGCAGCAGAGGGGGTCTTGGTGGGAGCAGAAACAAGGTGCTGCCAAGTGATTTGGAAGGGGCAGATGTAGACATGTGGAGCAGCATTTCTTGGCCAGAGAGAGTTAGAGAAGAGCAGAGAGGTCAGAGAGAGAGATGGCTTTGGGAAGATGGTTATGCGCTGGGAGAGGGATGCTGTCTGGACTAGGAGACACATGGAAGTGAGCAGTCTTTAGTCCTGTGATCTCTTGCCTTGGTGCTGGAGGGCACAGAGAGGTGAACCTCAGTGTGTGCGGTGCTCTGAGGGTTAGGGATCGAGGGGTGAGATCCACAGTGTATCGAAAGGCATGTTTTGCTGTCTCGAATGGCAGTGACTGTGTGGATCTGGGATTAGGAGAGGAAGAAGAGTTGAAATCCAAGGCTTTGGGAGGCCACGGTATCGTCACGTCAGCTGTCAGTGTCAGTTCTCCGTTTGGGTGACCCCACGGTACCGAGAGAGTTGACATGGGTGAGAACTGCCTCTCTGCAACACCCCAAATGCCAGTGCTTTTACTTCAATGAGGCAAGCACTGGATGCAGGGAAGCTGGTGGTATTTTGGCATGCAGTGTAGAGACTCCTAAGATACAGGCTCCCTGCTTGTCCTGAACACACATGAGATACAGTCCAAACTGCACGTATACAACTGTGGTGACAAGCTCCTGGGGCAATTACTGGCCCGAGCTGGTTGTTTTAAAGGTTTCTTTCTCCCTTGAGACTTGTTTTGTGCTCTCCCCTGTGCGATGAGGTTAACCTGGGAGCACACATGGGGCCCTGCACTTATCCAGAGTCCTTCCACCCAGCGACTGCTGGGAAGAGAAACCACAGTGGATGTTACCCTGCTGGTAGGGAGATGTGGAGAAGCTGGCACCAGCCTGGGCTGCCTTTTGATATGATTAAAAGCTGATTAAGATCTCTGGGCTCCTTACTGTGTTGGCTCAGCTGCCGGAGCTGCGAGGTAGGAAGCTGGGGTGCGTGCATTGGGAGCGTTTGCTGTTGTTTTGGGAGCGGGGTGCTCCTCCTGAACACACAGCCAGCCCGTCATGGCGGGGGTCTGTGTGCCCCTGTGCGAGCAGAAGCAGGCTCTGCTCTTGTGCCGTGGGGACACAGAGGGACGTTGGGTCGCTGCTCGCCGATGCTTTGAGGGGCATCTAACGCCACTGTCTGTGCATGTGCCGTTTCACTGTCCTGCTTGGCTGGTGGCACTTGGTGGGGGGGCTTTGGTGCCTGCAGTCTGTGCACGCCTGATGAGGTCTCTTTGGATGGTGATTTGGACCACGCATGTTTGCAGGTGGGTGGGAGGCACGGGGGTGTTGCACGAGTGTCACGAGTTCATGTGCTCGAGATGCAAGTCTGGCCATCGATAGCAGCACAGCAAGCTTGGCGTTTGTCTTGGGGACCAGAGTGGCCCCGAAACTTGGAGTCGCCTGACGTTTAGGGATTGGGTTGCAGTCTTTTGCTGCACCCATAGTTCAGAGGTATGCAGGTAGTGTGATACACAGGGAGTGTATACATAACGTACATCTAAAATCAATATAAATGTACACATGTGTATATATATAATATATTCATATCTGGATACCTATAAATTAAAAGGTATGTACATCTTGGCCTCCAGGCTGTTGAATACACAGCCTAGATGCCCAGGACCATCTGTAAAGAGGGAGTTAGCTGGCTCAGCAGCGGTCTGCAGAAGCTCTCTGTGGAGAGGGCTCTCTAGCTTTGAGCGAAGGCCTTTGCCCCTTGCTGCAGATCACGGCAGCGCTCGGGCATAGCGGTGACTGCATTTCTGAGTGCTTCCAGACTGCAAACACCACAGCAGGAGGCAAATCTGCGCCCTCGTTTCGACCCAGTCCACCAGCATTTGAGGCTGGGGCCAGACAATCGTACAACAGCGGTGGGAGACTCATGGAGAACGGATGGGCAAGATCTGGCAGTGCGTGACTGTGTTCCTGGGCTGCCCAGAGGTGCTTGTCATGGGTCCTCTGTGCTTTTTCGGATAGCCCTGGCAAGCTTATGCTCTAGGCAGGATGAAACTGATGTGACGGGTCAAGGACATGGCAGCAAAATGAGTTGGTGGTGTAGAAGTGAAATCTCAGCTTGTGGTTTTTCTCCCCTAGTACCAAGCAGTGTAGGGTATGTGGGGGCTTGGCTTTGCTGCAGCACCTTTTGTGCTCATGGCTGTTTCGCTTAGTGCCTCTAAGAAACCTGTACCCTTCAGTCCAGCTCCTGGAGGGCCAGTTAGGAGTGCTGGAAGAGATGTGCCGAACGACAGGCATGCAAATACCTTTGCTGGTGTGCTGCAGGAGCAGGGGGCTGAGCTCTAATCCCAGTACTGGCAGCATGCCTGCACCAGCTCTGCAAGTCTCTGCGCCCTCATCCCCTCAACCTGGAAATTAGGATGTTGGAGGGGCCTGATGCCGGGATTGATTATGCTGCGCTTATGAAATGAAAAGGGTTTATGTGGAGATGTGGTATCACTGTAGGCATCCGTTTTTCTTCGCTGCAGAGGCAAGGCAAACTTTATATACTGTCCTGCTTTAGCCTGTGAGAGTAGCTGAAGCTAAGTCCTGGCCCTAAGACAGCAGCTTAGGGCACACGGAAGTCAGTGTAGGTGGTGAAAAGGAGAAGCGTGGGTTCTTTGTGCATGGGAGATGGGCAAGGCTGGCATGGAGGGAGCTGTGGAAGTGTGCATGGGCATGTGTCCCTTCTCTGCACCTTGGTGTGCACAGTGGAGCAGCACTGACCTCGAGGGATCGGCCATCAGTTTTCAAAAAGCTACTTCTGTGTCCCCTAGTTCCAGTCTCCTCAGAGCACTCGGAAGGGGCTGAGAAAGATGATGTGCGTATGCAGCTGAAGAGGCATCAGACCCCCAGCCCGACCCAGTGCACCAAATCCTCCAAACGAGCCAAAATCAAGGTGACCATTGTCTCTCATGGAGATGCTGCTGGCGTGGGGAACGGAGCACCCCTCACCACCCAGGCAGAAAGTGAGTTGCGATTACATAGCTGCTTTTTAACCAGAGAGCGGGGACGTGGCTCTGCCCAGACCCACTCTTCTGGGGCACGGCGTGGGGAGGGGAGGGGAGCTATGATTTTTTTTTTTTTTTTTTTAAATTATTTTTGGACGAGTTAGCTGCAGAAAACAGGCAGAGGCTCAAGATGTGAGTGACTTGGGGATAGCCGGGAAAGCGTGGGGGCTGACAGCACGTAGGAGCTTGGCAGGAGCCTCTGTTTTCCATAGCATTTGGGATTCCACACTCCAGCGAAACACTCGACCGCAGCCTTGTGTGCTGCGAGGCAGATTTTACACCTTCCTCTGAGGCATTGAGCTGCTGCTGGAAGCAGGATGCCGGTCCTTGCGGACCCCTTGCTCCAAGTAGGTCGTGTGCGTCTCCAGTTCTGCTGCACACTCCTGCAGCACCTGCACGAAGCTCTCACCTGGAACATGCTCCTGCTTTAGGGATTATGGCGATGTTCCTCCCTCTGGAAGACCTTCGTACATTCAGACTTCACGATTCAGCCAAGTGCCCCGCTCTGCTGATCCCCTTTGGGCCTGAAGTCCGCACAATACGCGCTTGATACACATGTAAACAAATTCCGGCTCCTCTCCTGCCCCTGTGGCATGCATTGCAGAGGTCCCCACAGTCCAAGAAGAGGTGATGTGCTCTGTCTTCTTCACCTTGAGCCTTTGCAAGGGAGGCCAAAAGCTTTGGCTACTGTCACCCTTGTACCTGATGGATGTTGCCTTGTTGCTGGCAGTGCTGGTGTATATGTCTTCCTCAAGTCAGAGTGCAGAGCACCAGAGATGTAAAGCAGTCACTTGGTATTAGCATTAGCTTGATGCAGTGCAGGACTGAAAGGTCAGCATCTCCATTCTGATAGGAAATCAGAGGTTTTCAAAGCTGAGAAATAATTCTGCTCCTTTGGAAGCATCTCTCAGTTAATTTAACAGTTGTTTTGAACTGTGAAAATGAACTAATAAATACACGTCTTTTTAAGGTTACGGTTTATCTGCTGGCAGCTTTGAAAATCTCTGGTTTCTGGAATCTTTTTTTTAATTTTACAAACTTTACTTCTTTCCACAGAAAGGAAATGAATTGCAGAAGTAAACATGAACCAAAACAAGAATTCCCTCTTACCGTGTGTGAGCAGGAGGAATGCACAAGACAAACGCAGTTGTATCCCAAAACGCCGCAATAAACAAATATTGTGACTCGTCGCATCCCTGTGTATTTTGTAAAGTGTCTCTAAAGAATGCTTACAAAATTGCTCACTAGCGAGTAGCCAGATCTGAATCAATCGGTTGAGGTGGTAGACCTGTGCCATGATGGACTAGGAGGAGGGGATTAGTGGAGATAACGTTTAGGAGAGAGATTTGCATTTGGTGGTGAGGGCCTGAGATTTCATTGCTTACAGATTTTGAAGCTGATTCCTTCAATCTTGTCTGTTGTAATGCTTCCACAACTGTTTTTATTCGCAAGTCTGCTCTGTTTGATACTCCCGATCTCCCATAGCGCGGTGCCTGGAGTATATGTTTATGGCTATGTTCGAGGTTTCCTTGAGAAGATGCTTTGTGAGCAGGATAAGCCCATGGCCCGCAGCGCTGTGTCTGTGGGTAGTTGTGTGAGAGAGGGAATCCCTAAGACTCGTGGAGGAGAGTGAGTGAGGTTTCTTCTTTTTCTTTTGCAGTTGTCGCTGGAAAGCCGGTCCCCATGGCTGTTGGCCAGTCTGTGTCAGGCGCAAAGGAGCTGTCAGGACTGCTCACTGCCCCGAAGTGAGTGTGACTTTATTTTTTATAAGCCGTGGGTATTTTTGACAGGCTGCTGATGGGAAGCACTGCAACAGAAGGTGATTTCTGCATGTGGAACTTTCTGGTATCTTGCTTATGACTGGAATTATCTGAAGTGCAGGAGACTCTTGGATTCCTGAAAACTATTGTCAACTGGCAGTTGAGTCTGAGAATGGCAGAAATGGGCAAAAGTAGAAGGTGGTGTGGCTGTTAAGCTATATTTCTATATGGCTTCCCAAATTCAAGTTTGCTTATCTCTGTCTTTTGAATGACTGTGGTGTCTTTGGCAGAAATTCAGTGTTGTCTTTAATCCTTCCCTTCATTTCCTCTGGCAGTCAAGCATTTTTGCCCAAAGATAGGGGAAAGAAGCCTCAATATTGGCTCATGAAGTTGATTAACTGGCTGTAGGGATTTCTGTTGGGGAATCAATTTGACGTTGACATCTCGTATCACTGTTTTCCCTTTTAATTCAAACCAAGCTTTGGAGAACCAGACTCTGACTGATCTGGGAGGGGAGAGGAAGAAGAGCTGTTTTAGAAGTAGGTTTTAAATGGGAAATGTGTCACTGCAAGGTAGATTGCTTTTGTGTAGGGTGACGCAGCCCTTGCAGCACTTAGGTAGGTGCCCACATGATAACCAGCTCGCTTCCAATTGGGAAGTACATGGATTTTGCCATAGGTGCTCCTTGTTCTAGCTGCCGCAGTGGGCACAGGGAAACTTCTCTTGCTTTGGGTTTTTGTAGCTTATCAGCTCCCTGCCTTAGACTTCCAGGAGTCCTGCTTGGTTGCATTAGGCCAGCGACAGCTTGCTGTCAAAGCCATCTCATTGCCCTGTGCAGTTTATTGCTAACTGGAGTCTTTCTCTTCTGCTCGCTTTGTAGGCTGAGTTCGGCAGCAGAAACCTCCTCCACAAGTCCTGCTCCGTCTGCCGTGATCCCCAGCAGCACGGCACCCAGTGCTTTCCATGCCCTGCAGAGCAGGCTGGTGGCCAGCAGCACCCACTGCATGCAGGCCCAGCCAGCCAGTACCCTCCAAGGTACCTGCCTCTCTCCATGTCTCTGTTGTGAATGTAAAAGGTAAACCAGGTTCAAAATCATTTGGTGGATCCTCTTTCTTGCATTCCCTGTTGCTTTGGGTTTGGCTGAGGCAGCATTTGTAGTGCTTTGCTATTGCAGAGCCTACAGAGATCCAGTGGGATGCTACAAAGCAAGGCTGAAGGTGCAGTAGGTGACCTGTTAATTGTGTCATTTGTATATAATGATGCCTTGAGATACCAAACCCGACCTCCTTCTGCCTCCTGGGTTTCACAGCTAACCTTGTTTGTAGCTGTAGCAATGAAATGTGTTGGACTCTTTGTGTAGAGCAGCTAGGAGGATCCCTGCCGACTTCGACGCAGGCTGCTTGGGACACTGCTTTTTAATGAACAGTTTTGCAGACATCTGCTTTATGACAGACCTGGAATTTCATGGTGGTGAATTCTCTAAGCCCGATTTCTTTATTCCTTACTTTTTTTAGGAGCAGCATCTGCCAGCAGCTTGCTGCAAGGGCTGAGCTTCAGCCTGCAGGACATTGGGACCAAGTCATCAGCCCTCCCTGCCAGCGTGGCTGCTGCTGGGCCACCGGTGCAGGTACGCAGCCTGCAAACATCAGAGATTCCTCTCTGGAGGGAAGCTGTATGGAGGATAAAGCAGTAGGAGTTGGAGGGAACCTAGACAGGCCCTGTTTGCTCCAGGACCAGAAGAGATGAGGGATGCTGGGTGTGAACTGCAGCTGAAATGATGCATCCAAGCCTTGGCCCTGTGCCGGGTGCCAAGGGTTCCTGTAGGTGGCATGAGGTCTGGGAAGCGGGGCTGTGGGAATTTCTTTCTAGGCAGCCACCTAGAAAATGCTGGGAAGAAGCTGGAGAATGGATGGAGGGGGGGGGGATCAGCAATCTTTCTCCTTCTTGTTCTTCTGGGAAAACACATGCCTGTGACCTCTTAGGCAACACTCCTGATCCCTGCAGTCTGCGGCAACCTCTTTCAGAACGGGTCACTTTAGAAGCGGAGCCACAGTTTCTCCCAGTCAGGCTTTCAAGTTGAAATGAGTATGTGCAGACTGGAAGGGACAAGTGTACTTGCTTTTAGACCTGCTTGTGGCCACCAGAACGAAGTGTGGAAACACTGACCACTAAAGGCCTCTAGCCTCTGCATGGGGGAGAGGCCATGCCATCCCCTTTCCTTCCAGGTACTCAGTGCTTCTGCTTCTCCTTCTAGACCTCAGCTGTGAAGACGTCCGCACCTATCCAGAACCTGAGTGCCATAACCACAGGCACCGGCACAATTGTCCGCACCATCCCAGTTGCCACCTCTTTGTCTCTGGGAGCTTCAGCGAGCGGGAAGCCCACGGCCATTCACCAGCTGCTGACAAACGGGGGACTGGCAAAGCTGGCCAGCAGTCTCCCTGGCTTGGCTCAGATCTCCAACCAGGCAGCAGGTGAGGGAGAATGGGGACAGGCGTGTGATGCAAGCACCTGGAGCACCCCATTATGCCGAGACCGGCATTTCCAAAGCTTATTTTGCCTTTGAGATGTAGCTATGGACGGCTGTGTGTGCTAGTAATTTCTGAGCAGCTGCCTCTAATGGGAAGAGACTTCAGATACACCCCCGGTTGGTGAATGTGGCCTCTGCAGTCCCTGTGTCTCAGGGATATCTCGCTCACGTGTTTTCTAGGCTTGAAGGCCCCGACAACCATTACTGTGACGCTGCGTGGGCAGCCCAGCCGCATGACCACGCTTAGCCAGGCTGCAATGGGGACCGTCCAACCCCAGCTCGAGGAGCAGCCAATGCAGACGCAGGCACCTCAGGTAATTTTTGGCATCTTCTCTGTAGACAAAGTGTCCGCTGATGCTCTTCTGAGCTTTTTCTGACCATCATAGTCAAGGGCAGATACAGCTGTTGTGGGGAAAGTGTTCTTGGTCACAATCTCTTGGGTGTGATGAGCTTTGTTGCTCTGCTGAGGCTGCACAGAAAGGGGCCTCGCAAGGCGGTGGTTAAGAAGACCCAGGTCATCTTCGTGTCTGTTAGTGGCAGGGTCGATTGTGCTCAATATTGCACTAGTACTGCACCGAGGGAATCTCCGGCTAGACTTTGAAAGCTGACGTCAGCATGGGAATTGTTACTGAAGCTCCAGGTTTTCTTGGCAGTAACAGGTTTTGGTGGGAGGAGGAAAGCTGCTTGTAGAGTGTCTATCCCCCGCCTCTTCAGGCAGGAGAGTGGGTTAACTGTGCTGTCTATAGCTGTATTCCTCTTGAAAACACTGCTTCTGACTATTAGATGCCCTGATGTGAGGCTGGGCCGTGTGGATGTTGGGGATACTGTACTACTTCCTTCTGCAGGTCCACAACTCCTGCTCTTTCTCACTGCCATGCTGTTGAAACCAATTTATGAAGTGCTGACTGCATGCTCCAAGGTTGTATCTGTTCGATACAGATCTGCTTTTGGAGGTGGATCACGGACAGTAGGAAAAGCTCTTACTATTCAGACTCTAAATGTGTGCCAGGTACTGTCTCAAGGATCCTGGCTGCCTTCCTGCTTCCTAGGTTAAGTCTTGGTGTGGTTGAGAAGAAAGCACAAGGTGCCAAGTCAGAGAGGGGTTGTTTGTTGTTGTGAACGTAGTGGTCTTAGGTACTGTAACGCGGACCTCTCAACCCCAAATCCTGGAGGTAGCAAAAGGGGTAAATTTACTGCAGGTGTATTCTTGGGGTCTGTCCTAAATCACTGTCAGCTTTGAGCTGGATCCATAAATGTGACGGCGGAAAGGTTGGTTCTGACTCCCTGCACAGGATGTTTGGTCAGCAGTGGCTGTGATGTGCTATCAGCAAGGTTGACCTAAGCTCAGATGGCTTCCCCATGGTCCTGGCTACATGGGGATGTAGGAGAAAACAGGCAGCCCAGGCCTGTGATCTGCCTCATGGGACTAAAGGGGGCATTGCGGGAAAAGGGCTGCAGGTTGCCTGAGTATATACTGAGGAGTATAACTGACTGTCCAACAGATGCTGAGTGTAATGATTTGAGGCAGGTGTCTGCAGGGAGAAAGCAGGTCAAAGAGCAGCAACCTCCCAGAATGATAGATGCTGCAGCTTGGGCAGTTGGATGAGTGAGGAGCATCCAGTGGGGATCAAGCTCCAGTTCCCAATGGGGATTAACAAGTTGGCACTGAAGACTGGGGATGCCAAGACCACTCCAGATTGGCAGGGTTTGGTTTTTTTCTTTTTTCTCCTGAATGTGATTTTTTCCTACTGTTGATAGCACTAATGCAAGTCCCAGGCAGGTAAGCTGGTGTAGGAGAGGCAGAGCAATCTTTGCTTTGTAGATGAAGCTCTGTAGTTTTGGTCCCTGTTGTTGGGGTAGCTCAAGTTGTGGGCAGCGCTGTGGAAGCAGGGAGAGTGCTTCTGTTCCTTGCTGCTATCTGTAGGTGTTTGAGGTTGCCTGAAGCCCTGAGATACATTTAGGGAGGCATTATCTTAAGGGTGAAGCATTGGGATGGAAGTTGGGTAAGTATTAACAGCAGTAGCCATAAATCATTGCGCTGCTTTAAAGCTGGCATTGCATCCACCATTGCCAGTAGTTTCTGCGCAGAGTCCTGGTTTGCTGCTGGTTAAAGCTCAGATTCGGGGTCATCCACGTCCTCCCTCCCTTGACTTTTCTGTGTTTCTTTCAGTCACTTTGCTCACACAACAGAGCCGGTGAGCATTGGCAGAGCTGAGCTTAAAGCCGGCTAAGGTAGAGCTCGGAAACACAGAGCTAGTGACGCTCAGTGCAGATCCCACCTAAGCAGCGGGTGAGTTGCTTTCTTAGGTCTGAAACTCTTCATCCTTGTTGGAGGCAGTTTTTGTGCTCTTCAGAGGCCGTTTAATAAACTATCAGAACTGGCATGCTTTTCTTTACGTCTTTTGTTACCTTTGAGAGACCCTAAATATCCAGCAGAACTGTAACTCTGCAGTGTAATGAAACTTGGTACAGATCGACTCCAGGGTTAACAGGTTCATGTACGGGTTAATGTTTTAAGGTGGTGGCACTTGGAACTGGATATTGGATCGCATGCTGTGACTTCTACCTACAATGCTGAGCTTGTGTGTTCAAGGTAGGGCTTAATTGTGTGGCTGGCTGGGAGAGTTGCTTCAAAAGCAAACTGAAAGCTGGCTTTTACAGGAAATGGAATGAGCTGTATGTTTTTGTAACTAATTATAGCCCTTGACATCAGCTGGTGTGTACCTTTAGCGCATAGGATTACGTAATCTAGCCTGGCTTCCTGTAAAAGAGCAAATTTACAGAAGGCTTTGGGGGATAACGCCTAGGGCTTAAACTCTTGTGTTTTCAGCAGTAGCCAAAGCTGTTGTCGGTTGGGTTCCCTTTGAAATTCCAGCTGACGGCTCCACTGTGCCTGTGCAGGAAGCGTGAAGCCCACGCATCGGCTGTGCGCTGTGATTTTTAAACTCTGGGGGCTGGGGCAATGCCTGCAGCAGCTGAGATGGAGTTTGAGTGGGTAACTCTTTTCCTTCCCCCGTGGGCATTAAATGGGAGACAGAAGACTGAGGAATCTCCCTGGGGAGTTTGGTGCTAATGCTTTCTGTGAGTAGCGGAGTAAGAAGAAGCAAGAGTGTTTGCGTGGCTTTAAAGTGAAAATACGAGCAGACTTCAGCTTCTCTTTTCAAGAAACTGTTCCGTGGTGGTTTGAACATGGCTTTTTGTATGGGTTCCCCCCTGCAGTGTGGTGAAATCCTGATAGTAGCTCTATAAACCATGGAGTGATGCTGATGCTGGATCACACTTTTGTTTTCTGCTTAGTGGTGCGAAGATTTATGTAGCAATGACCAGAGCTGCAAACTGAGGTCGTGGTTTGAGCTTTGGGCAAGGATCTCCCTCAGATGGCATGAGGAGAACTCTCACTCCAGCCCCTGCTGCTGCCCAGAGCTGGCTGCTGGTGGTCGATGGGCTGTAAGCAGGCAGTGAACACCTTTCTTTTCCTGAAGTCTGACCCTTTCGACTCCCAGGGGCATAAATATTAGTTATAGTGAACGGAGTACCATTAAATTGCTGCACAAGGCATTGAAAAACAGGCTGTGACCTGCATGGGCATCAGGTAGGGGGGTCTCAGACTTGAGCTTAAGTGATGCTTGTCAGTGGTGGAGGAGAGTGAGCAAGGTGGCTCAGAGAAGTCTGACTGAAGAGGTGGGTATCTGCTTTTATAGCTGGAAAAGCTGCTTTGGAGCTTGAATTGTGTCAGCTCAGGGCTGTGAGGGCTCCCACGGAGAGCACAGGAATGCATGCAGTTGGTTCTTTCCAGTATCAGATTGCAGATGCACCTGGACAGAGTTCAGGCAAGTGAAGCAGACCCAGAGGCATTCGAAGAACCCTCCAGTGGGGGAATTTCCAGGTACTTCACTGACGCTTGTCGGTGCTCTCCAGGGTGTGCTGCCATCTGCCTTAGGATACAAATCCAAACTCCCCAATTGTCCCAGTATTTAACGTTTGGTGGACACTGGTGCTGTGTAAGCAGCTGGTTCTTGTCAGAGGGCTTGTATGTCTTTGTCAGGCAAGAAGGAAGCTCTTCCGATGTAGAGGATGGTGTGTGCTGTTCCAGTTTTTGCTGGGCTTTTTCGCTGGTGCCGCTGGTAATAGCGGATCATTCTTGCCAGTGCATCTGCATCATGTGGGAATCATTCCTGAGCTCCTGGCTCTTGCTTTACTATTGCTGCAGAGGAAATGAGAGCAGAACTGATTTCTCTGACAGCCAGAGATGGGGATAGAGCCATCCCATTCCGCTCCAGAAAAAGGCAATGAGTTTATGCCAGTCTCAGCCCAAACACTGACAGTGGTGTTGGTGCTGCAAATGACACCATCATGCTTTTAAAATACAGATCTGTGGATTTTGTCTCGGTACGCATTTTTCCTTGAGCTTGGTAATGAGTGGTCAGAGTGAGGGCAAGGCTAGAAGAAGCAGGGAGAGGGCGTGCTCTGATTTTATTTTTTTTTTAGGTGAGGGCTTGCGCAGGTCCCAAGGAATGGTTGCAGCCCCCCGCAGATGGTGTATCCTCAGCAGTGGGGCATTTCCAGTAGCTCTCCGTTACTTTAACCCTTCCAGGCTCCAGATGGTGCTGTTGGGAATCTGGCTGCCCCAGCTACCAGCGCCGCCTCTCCTGGCAAGCTGCTGTCTCAGATGGATCTCAGCAAAGCCCAGGCTGGCGCAGAGATGGCTCCCACCGACCCCGCGGCACACCTGACCTCCGCCGCGGCAGCACCCGTAGGTGAGGCGCATGGCAGTCGTGGGACGCGGGCAGCCGGCCTGGGGACCAGAGCGGAGGCCGGATTGGAGCCATGCCACCGGATGACATGTGTGGAGTCACTCTGGGGATTAGCTGCCTGAATGCTGCTTATTTTTAAGCCCCTCGCTTTGTTTGTGGTTTTTTTTTTTGGTTTAGTTTTTTTTTTTTGTCCACCCCTTTAAGTTAGGTTCCCCCATGGTTTCTTTGTACAAGGAGTTGTGACTCAGTGCAGCCATTTTTGAGTGGCTGATGAAGAGCAGAGTGTTAAACTTGAGACCAAACACAGAAGGGATTATCTGCCATTTGTGTTTAGGGCTGCCATCACACGCTTGTAGCACTAAGCACTCTCCCTCCTACCCACATTTATTTACCTTGCCTGGGGAGAGCGGACCCATCCAATTACAGCTAAATAAATATTGCAGAGCCACTACCCAGCCAGTAGCCTCAGACTTGGGGGGAAAAAAAAAAATTGACACAAAGCGGTGATGCGATCTGTTGCATCCTCAAAGGCTTCTGTTCCAAAGAGCCCATTGCCAGCCAAGCCAGTGTTTTCATTTTCCTCGGTCCAGCTGATTTCCAAGAAAGCGGCAGGGTGAGCAGGTAGTCAGCACTCAGGCCAAATCTGGTGGATGAAGTTCGGTGGGGCTGTGCCAGTTTCCCAAAGGGCAAAGCTCTGCAGCGTGTGTGGTTTACCTTGCAGGCGTTAAACCCAGCTAACTGACCCCTGCAGACCTTCAAACTCTGCTTGGCTCCCCCAGGACTCAATAGGAAGGTGCAGAAGCACTAGGCTTAAGTAGACTTCTCTGTGTTTTGTTCCTTTTGTTATTTTTTGTAGCTAGTGGATGACGTTAGATCTGTGGAGAGCTTTACCTGCTTTCGCTGGTTGGCTTTGCATCCAGTGGGGAGGACCAGTTCGTAGGAAAGCTGCTGGAGCAGCAGGGTGGACTAGGGTGTTAGCACAAAATATTTTCCAGACTTTTCGGTTTGTGGAGTGGTTGTTGCCGCTGTCTAACAGCATCACCGTGTGTCTCTGCCGCTTCCCCAGCCTGCGTAGGAGTGGCTGGAGTTGCCTGTTCTTGCCGTGCTCCTGCCCTTCCAGCCCCCCTGATTCCCCCCAGGATGGTGGGGTCAGTGTGGTGGCGGTCCCATCCTGGTTAGGCAGTCAGTCGTCAGCCTTCGCTCCGTGCCCTCCCTGCTCGAGGCACTTCATTTCGGAGAGGTCCACGCTGCGCTGGTGGTGCTCGTGGCACGCTGTCACCGCTGAGGAGTGTGAGGGACGCTGCGGTGCGTCTTTGATGCCACTATATCAGAGAGACGCAGCGTCGTGTGCCAGGTGACCCAGGGTGGCTGGGCACATGCTGCTTTCCGCTCCTCGGTGTGGACTCCTGAGGAATGGAGCAAGTCACAGCCTTGGGCAACTGCAGGGGCAAACTATGGGCTGCTCCAGGTTGGGGTTTTCTGCCCAACGTTGTCTTTAACTGGCAGTGGGTCTCCAGGCTTTTTCCCGTCCCTTGAGTGCGTCTAAACCCAGTGATTAGATTTCAGTGAAGTCTCTCTCCCCTCTGTTGCTCTCTGGGCTGTGGCTGTTGTATATGCAGCTGGGGAGCTGACTCGGACGGGGTAACCACCGTGATACAACCCCTGCCATTGCCTTAGAGCACAGAGGGCTTCATTTTACAAAGCCTAAAGTCTTTTAGCCATCTCCTGGGGTGGAGTGTGATGAGGGTCTGAGCACCCCCAGCGCTGCTGGTGGGACGGAGATGCCAGAGATGAGCAAGAGCTTGCCTTGAGCTGGGCTGCCGAGAGCAACGTGAGCTCGGTGTGGTCTGTGACAGCTTGACAGGTAGGATGGGGCAAGATGGAGCCTGCTTGCCTGAGGAGGAGCCATGACGTCCTGTCCCAATGGGATGGGACTTTTTCTGGGAGAAGATCAGATACTGAAGGAAGAGAGGGGCTTCCTTGGGGGATCTGAGCGGTCTAGGAGAGGAGTGGTGCTGATGGTGCCTGTTTGGCTGTTGTGGTTTCCTTGCCCAGGCTGTGACAGCGCTGGGGTTTGTTTTGGGTTCTCGCTCTGGAGAGCGGACAGGGCCAGGTCTTTCCATTCAGTCTGAAAGCCTGCGACTCCGCCGCTGCAGCTGGGGGCTGCAGCCCAGGGTAGGCACCACGTCCCCACAGCCACTGACCACACTCTCCCCTTCTCCACAGTGACTCTCCCCTTCTCCGCAGTGACCACCACCAGCCCCATGAAGACGCTCTACGTCATGTCGGATGCCAAGCTGTCTGCACTTACCAAGTCTGTGATGGGTGAGGCTACTTCCGTCCCCCTCAAATTGCCAGGCATCCAGCCTTCCTCCTCTTCCTCCTCTTCATCTGCCAGCTCTCCCACTGGTGCCGTCACCTTCGCCACCTCCCCCCTGGCCAGTGCCCCCAGTCCTCCTGGCAGCCTGGTACACTCGAAGGTTGGACCTGTCCTGCAAACTGCTTCCAAGACCGTCATCCTGACCTCCACGCTGGCCACGGTGAAGGGCGATGGACCCCTGGGACACATTGGGGAGAAGGTCAGCCTGACCAAGAGCGCCGCGGCCCTTGGCCATGCTCTGGGGGCAGTGGAGACCCTGGGGAGGGTTCCCTCCGTGGTGGACGACGGGAGCACCATCATCCACACCAGAGAGGCTCTGGCCAACAGACACTTGCTGCCCCAGGGTGTGCTGCCAGGAGGGGCCGGCACCACGCTCATAACGCTGGGCAGCAGCCTGGCCAGCTCCTCCATCATCGCCACGGCAGGGCCCACACTCAGCCAGAAGCCGTAGGGAGCCCCGGGACCCCTCAGCTGCAACCGGGCGCTTCGGGAAGACTGAGCTTGGCTGCCTGGTGGGAGGGGAACAGCCCTGTGGGCATGGGGGGGCTGGTTCAGGCTGGAGGAAACTGGGGGGATGTTTTTCTGGTTTTGTTGCTCTTTAATAAAACTTTTTTTTGTTCTTTACTGACTTCATTGTGCATGTGCCTTCCAAAAGCAGCTTTGGTTGCAGCCCAGCCCTTGACCATTTTTGTTGAGGGCCGATTTCTCTTGCCATGAAGGTGTGGAGGGACAAAGCAGCCTTGTGCAGGCAGGGAAGGGTTCATGCTGTGGGTCCTGGGAGCAGGCTGGGCAGCAACCGGGGCAGCTCCTGCTGTCTGTGCTATCTACCGGTACATCCCTCCTCTGGGTAGAAGTTTCAACTGCTTCCTCATACTATTGGGAATATTTATACATGCTGAAAAAGGCTCAACTTTAATCTGCCCCGAGCCTTGACTTAACCTTTAGTCGTGTTTGCATCGGCAAGTGGGGTAGCACCAGGCACCTGGGCAGCTTGTGTTTGAAATGAGGGAAGCAGCAGAAGGGGTGACACAAAGGGGCTGAGCCACAAAATGGGGGCCGAGATGACGTGGTGAGGCCGAGTTCGGCACCATCGAGGGTGGTTTGCCAGGGCTCGGGACAAGTGTTTCGCCACCCTGGGGCTGTCACTGGGCTCTGGGGCTTGCTTTCACAGGACAGAGCTTAGGGCTGCGATTTGGTGGGTATTTTTGTGGTTATGGGGGATAATCCCGATGCTCTGTATGTATGTCTTCATCCCGTGCTGTGGCTCTGCTGAGCCCTTGACCCTCGCTTCCCCGGAGGGATGCAGGGCATGGTGCGACGTTTGCCGGCTGAGACGCTTTCGGGGAGCATGATTCTTGGCAGACGGAGACCCACAGTGCCGGGGCAGCCCCGTGCTCCCGCTGAGGGCAGGCAAGTTTCGGAAATCTCCGCTCGCTTCCTCATCCTGCTGGCTTGTGAGAAGATCCTGTTTTTGGCGTGGCTTGGCTGGGACGGCAGACACCACGGCAGAAGCAGGGCATTTGTTACAGGGAGCCTGAAAACAGCAGAGAATAACAGTTTTCCCCTTTGAAGGCTGTATTTGCTCGTCGTAAGAAGAGGGAGATGCTGTAAATCCCTTCCCACCTCTCCTGGGCTATACACACGCTGCTCCAGATGCTGTCCGGCTTTTTGGGGACTGTCCTGCTTTCCCCTTCACAGCCTCTCGCACGCTGGACTTCATGCCGGCACAATGGTGAGTAGCTGTCTTGAGGTTGCTGAGCTTTGCCAGCACCCCAAACCCTGCTGAGCCCTGGGCTTTTCTTCCCTTTTCCCTGGAGTTTTGGGGGGGGGGGAGAAAAAGAAGAAAAAAAAAAAAAAAAAGGCAAGATTTTACTTTGCCAGCAATCCAGGTTCAGCCCAGGCAAAGTTTCCTGCAGGGAAGGTTGTGGGTGTGGGATGACCTTGAATCCCAAGGCTGAGCTAGCCCCTGGCATGGGGGGTTTGCCGATGGGATGCCACTAAACGTGGCACCTTCTCCCTGAGCGGACAGTGATGGGAAAACCAGGATGGACTTAGGCTTGGCTCTAGCATCCGCAGCACCCATGGACACAAGCATGTTTGGTAAAAATGAGGGTCTGCTGTTGACCCGCAGTGTTTTTAAGCAGCTCAACTTTCTTTTCCAGGCTTGAAGTCACAATTTCTCAGCTGCAATAACAATAATAAGGCTGAGACACCCTTAGGGATGTAGCACCTCCAGTGCCCTCGCTCCCAGGTGCGAAGGCAGCTCTTTGTGGGAAGGCTTGAGCTCCGTGGCCGCATCCTCGCTCCCAAACCGGGGTGAATGGTAGGTGTTTTGGCAGTGAAGCTCTTGTGGTAGAGTTGGGGTGGTCTGCAGCATGTGTAATGCCTTTCCAATGCCCAGGCTGGAAGATCCAGGAGGGGTTGCATCTGTGACGCTGCTCTTCTCACTGAGTCTAATGCTCTAAGCATCATGGAGTGACCAGTGCTGCCTGGGACTAATTCTCCTTTTCCAATTTCTATCCCAAAGCTTTTCCTTTCCATGGATACAGCAGAAGTGGTCCTTAAAAGCTGACTTATGGCTCCTGCTCCACCTGAAGCAGTAACCCTCTCTGGGGATGAGCAAGTGCCACTGTCCCTCTGCCCTTTCCACTTTGATGGCTTGTGCCGAGGCGCCCAGGATGGCGGTGAGCGGATGCGCTTGTGGGGAGCAGCCAGCACGAGAAAAGCAAGTCCTGCGCCTCTGACGAAGCCTTTAGGCCATTTGCAACAGCTCAACAGGAGCTCCCAGAGGCAAAAAACACCTGGAGATGTTGCTGGGCTGGTTCGCACTGGGACGCATGGCTGCTCCACGAAATGGCTGTGATTCCCCCAAAACTGATGCAGAAAAGCACCTCCTTCTCCATGGGATCAGGGCGGCCACGGAGGTGGGTCTCAGCCCATCCCCACAGCATCACGAAATGCCTCTGGGGCTCCGTGCTTAGGGTGAGGATCCCCCCAAACCCTGCCCCGATCCCAGAAATCAAGGACACCCCAAACACTGCCAGGTCGGGACCATCCAGCCAGTTTTATTTTGGGTGCTGCCCCTGCAACCAGCTCAGCCGCTGTGGCTGTTTGAGGTGCAGAGCAACAGCGAGCGGAGCGGCCGGAGTGCTTTGCGGGCAGACACCCAACGCAGCGGCTGCTCGCTGCAGTCCCAAACCCCTAAAAAAAACCTCTGGAGCCCTGGACAGAGGCAGCAGAATTAAAAACCAAAATTGCATCAGCCAGCCAGGGCTCTGGACCAGGGAGTCGCCGAGCGTCCTGGCCACGGTGGGGTGGGAATAACCGTCACCCATCTCAGCATCCTCGCCACATCATGCGAAACCGTGCCGGGGCACGGCATCTCTAGCAAAATAGAAACCTCTGCAACTCATTTTGCTCCCTTTTTTTTATGTGTGTATGTATATATATATATATATATAATATATATATAACCCTGTGATATTGGTAGTTAAGTCACCGGTGTAACGATGTCAGATACAAACAGCTCTAAGATCAAGAGTAAAAATGACACAGTCCAGATTGTCTCCTCTTAGTCCCCTTGCCAGGCTCTGAAGCGGTGACCGGCTCTGGCACATGCCTCGCTTCCCGGCTCAGCCGCCGCGGCATCCTGGCCGGCTCTCTTCTCCGCAGGGAACGAAGCCGATCCGGAGCGGGATGAAAGCGCTACAGCTTGGCGTGGCGGTGAAAGGCCGGCGCGTGGCGGGAGGCATAGGTGGGTTGGCTGTGCCACGTTGCCGCCGGGTAGAGCCGGTGCTGCAGCGAGCTCTCGTAGGATGCCGGGTAGTGCCCGGGGCCGGTCGCCAGCGGCTGGCACAGGTCAGAGGGCTGCGTGGAGGCGGCTACCAAAGGGCTGGGGAAAGCAGGGATGACAAAGGGGTTGACGGAGAGGGACGGTGCCACCGGCACCCCTTGGGTTTTGAGGTGCTCCAGCGGGCTGCCGAAGCTCACCGGGAAACGCAGCATCGCTCCCTTGTAAACGTCCGGAGCTTGCGGCAGCGGCGTGGCGTAGCCAGGGCTGGCCACTACCGCCTTGGGTTTGGCCAGCCCTTGCTGGCCCCCGGGCGAGCCGGCGCCCGGGTCCCTGCCGTCGGCCTCCTTCACGAAGGGAGAGATGGCACGTAACTTGGCGCTGGGGCCGAAAGCCGTCTCCTCCTCCCGACCGCGCTTGCCCCTCGGCGCGGTGGGGGTGAAGCTGGCCCCGGGGGGCACCCAGCAGGCTTTGACGGTGGCGCAGGCGGCCGCTCGCCGGCTCTCCCCGCTCCACGGCTGCCCTCCTTTGCTCCGCAGGTCTTGGGGCTGCTCCGGCTCCTCGGGTCGTGACGGGAAGGCGGAAGGCGGCTCCAAAAAGTCCTTCAAGCTGGAGAAATACCCCCAGAGGGGATGGCAGCCGACGGGCTTCAGCACCTCGTTGCGGTAGGCGTGGAAGCAGCCGGTGAAGATGGTGGGCGCCGGACACCCGTCCTCGGCCCGCGGGCAGGGCTGGCTGTCTCTCTCGCCGGGGGACGCGCTGCGGACAGGTCCCACCTCGCTCCCAACGCTTGGAGCTGTATCCTGAGCTCCCGACGGCTCCGGGCTCCTCTGCTCATCCAGGTGGGGGCCGGTGGCCAGCCGGGGGGGCTCGGGGTTGGGGCCGGGGCCAGCGTTGCTCACCGACCGCCGGCCCTCGGGGCAATGGCGTTTGTGGCAGTGCAAGGACTCTGCCTTGCTCACTTGGGCCAGCAGCTTCTTCTTGGCCAGCGGAGACATGATGGGGTGGTTGCCTTTGGAGTAGAAGCTGGAGAAAAGGCGCTTGTAGGTTTCCGTGTGGGTCCTGCAGGTGCCGGGACACCCCCCTGAGGGGCTCGGGGTCGGGACCCCCGGACCGGAGCATCCCTCCACCGCCCGGCTCCGCTCCGGCGCATCCCTCGCCTCCTCTGTGCCGGCCGGTCCCTCTGGCTTCGCCTTATCCGGAGGCATCTGCGAGCAAAGGGGATTCAGGGTGTGGGTGCCGGACTCTGCCGCATCCCCGTGCCGGGGTCCTGGCTGCCCCCCAGCCCTCTCCCCATCTTTGGCTGCCCTCAAGCCCTCTGCTCTCCTCTTTTCCCAGCCAGCCGCATCCCTCTTCCCTGGCCACCCCGATGGATTCCCCCCCGGTGAGGGACAGACCCGGGGGGTCGGTGCGGGGTTCCGGGGCTGCTCCTAAACCAGAGCCACATCAACCGGGGTCTTGGGGTGGGGGGGGCCGCGCACCTGCTCCCGGCCCTTCTCCTTCTTGGCCCTCTTGCTCTTCTCGCCCGTCTCGGTGCCCTTGGAGACCTTGTACTGCTTGCGGGGCTTGCTGGGGGGCAGAGGTTTGTCGTCCTCCCCCTTGAGATGCCGCACGTACGGGAGGACCAGCCTGCGGGGTGGGGGGGGGTGGGATGTGGGGGAGCGGCAGTGAGAACCGGCGCCGGGAGGGGAAACCGAGGCACGGAGCGGGACCCCCCC